ATTCTATTCAGTCTCTATTCTATTCTATTCATTCTCCTATTCTATTCTATTCTATTCTATTCTGTAATTCTATTCTATTCTATTCAATTCTATTCAGTCTCTATTCTATTCTATTCATTCTCCTATTCTATTCTATTCTATTCTATTCTATTCTATTCTGTCTCTATTCTATTCATTCTCCTATTCTATTCTATTCTATTCTATTCTACTATTCTTCACTTATTCTATTCTTCACTTATTCTATTCTTCACTTACTCTATTCTATTCTGTAATTCTATTCTGTAATTCTATTCTATTCTATTCTGTAATTCTATTCTATTCTATTCAGTCTCTATTCTATTCTATTCATTCTTCTATTCTATTCTATTCTATTCTGTAGTTCTATTCTATTCTATAATTCTATGAATTACAAATCCTATGAATGAACAAAAATTGCACGTTGGCTTGCAAAAATATTACTTGGTTCTAGCTTTTAGCATCAAAGGGCATTCGAGAAAATGATAAGGACCAACACAAACACATAATCAGAAGCAGAAGAATGATCTTTACACTTTGCTATATTCACTCAAGGACAATGCAATGCAGCAAAACTTCCTTGGAAAATTTTATTTGCACGTTGTAGGTTCCAACTGTATAACTATCAACTTTGGACAGTGGAGATAACAAGATCCCTGAAGTATAAATAAACCCAGCAGTTCCATTAGGGTTGATTTTACGTGCCACGATGTCTGGTAGACTTTATGCTTGGGTGCCACCCAGTTACAAGATTTCTTAGTCAATCTCACAACTCAACCTCATACAGGACACATTTAGTCATTTCTTTCACATCAGTACAGGTAGTTCTCAACTTACGACCACTTCAAATCCAATCCCATGCCCAAGCAGGGGACCCTACCAGTATATCATTCCGAACAAATGTTTGTCCAATCTCTTCCTAAAAGCCTCCAGTGATGGAGCACCCACAACTTCTGGAGGCAAGCCGTTCCACTGGTTAATTGTTCTTACTGTCTGGAAATCTCTCCTGAGTTCTAGGTTGCTTCTGTCCTTGATTAGTTTCCATCCGTTGCTTCTCGTCCTGCCTTCAGGAGGATAGCTTTGGAGGATAGTTGAGCCCCTCTTCTTTGTGGCAGCCAAATGCAAAGCTAGGCAGGCAAAATTCTTAAGGATGCAGAGGGAAAAAAAATCATTATAGGGATGGAAAGGTGGAAAGCGTCTAAAAGCCATTGCCAGCCTCTGCAAGTCATTTAAAGGCTATTGTCCCAAAAATTCAGTTTAGTTCCTTCCATCCTGTTCTTCAGCCTATTCACCAAAGGTGGCGCTGTGCGAGACAGGCATGAATTCCCCATTCGAAGACCCAATGACGTCAGGGAATGTAGAAATGAAGAAGGTGGTTGCCGAGCTGTTTCCCCAGCGCCTGGGTGGCTCGCCGTGATCGTATAGTGGTTAGTACTCTGCGTTGTGGCCGCAGCAACCTCGGTTCGAATCCGAGTCACGGCAAGGCGTGTGAATCTTTTTTTTTCTTTTTGTCTTTTTCAGCTTTCTAAATTCGCATTTCCGACATTTAACGACAAGGAAGCTTCCCCGTGCTTTTAAGAATTATTTGGAAGTAAAAGAAAAGCGAAGGGCTCCTGCAAAATTCAAGTCACCAAGGAAGCCCAGGGTCGAGATGGAAAGCGGGCTCGGGGTCCAGCAAGAATCCGGTTCTAGATTCGGAGTGAATTGCTTCTGAATGTGCATTTTGGGTGCATTTGCAGGAGGGGTCGTTGTAAGCTTGCTGGAATACCCCAGGCTGCATTTTCGTGTTTGTTGCCCAGGAGGTGTGCATTTTGCTACTTTTAAGATTATTTAACTCATTTAAGGTCAACGAGCTCTTAGAATGTCTATAATTAAAAGATGTTGGTTTAATTGTGTAGTATACCCTAGCGAGATGACCAAGGGGGGTAAGAATCACGCGAATTCATTTTGCCCCACTTTGGGGAACCTGCTTCCGGAGACAGGCTGCGTTCACACGTTGCACCAAGCCCTGAGCCGAACACGCCAAACTCTTATCAGTGAAAATTAAGCAACCGCAAGGACCGAGTTCCCCGGCCTAACGTCACCTATGAAAAAGGCGCGCAGGGTTTACTCAAACCACGTTTTGAGTGAACACGCGTGTCTTTTTTCACAAGTGACGTCTGCTCAGGGCTGCCAGTTCGGATTACAGTGCCCAAATTGGAGTAGGACACGTGACCAGCAGGCCTGTTTAAACAAAGGGTTATCCGATCACGCCTTGGCAAGCCTAAAACATTTTTCGGAATGCAGAATAAACAAAGATGGGATCTTAGAGGTCATCTAGTCCACCCACCCCCTCCCAAGCAGGAGACCCTATATACCATTCCGGGTAAATCTAGTCTTGCTTCACTCCAGGTAGAGTCTATCTGCCTGTGGCTTTGGCATAAACCTGCCTACGGGGGGGGGCCATAAAGGAGCCCAAACACGTCTCCGTCTCGCTCGCTCGCTCGTTCACACGTTACTCCAACGCACCCTTAAAGAGAAGGAAGCGCCCTGAGTTCATGACTGTATTCTATTTAGGGCTCGCCTCGCCCCCTAGATA